CTAAATAATTACTGTCCAAAATAGTGTCTTTTGACTCTGTCACACAAGGAAAAGTGATCAACTTTGGTGAGACACTCAAAAAAACTCAGATTGGCTGCTAAGTCTAGGAAACAATTCTCAGACTGCAGCTAGGGTTTAAGGCTACTGCAAGTACAACTGCGCCACATTTGATTGCTGTGTCACCTTGAAACAAGACCTGTGCTCACCCAACACTCAACAGAGTTGCAGTGAAAACCAAATAACATTGTTCTACTTGTTTCTCTAGATAGAAGACGATAGTGGTCTGTATGGCAAGGTAGACCTTGTATCCCAAAGGAATAACCTCATCAAGACCCTCCTAGACATACTGGACCAGTCTGCTAAGTATGGAGTGGGTCCCAATGCTAAAGATTTCGTGTCTACCAAGACTTCTAGGACTGCTAGTGCTGACCTGGCAAAACATATCAGGAAGAAAGAGTAAGTTGATTAAGCTATTAATACTTCAATTATAAACTCATACTTTACCACGATGTTTCTTCTTCTCCGTCATGTAAGAGCTAGGGGTTGGTTGTGGAAGGTCTGTGGTCATACAAAGGTCAATTTCAACTTTTTTGCATGGTGTTTTTAATTTAAAAATTTTCTTAGACCTTTGTCACGCAGGGACCATGTTTATTCCCAAAAAAAATTAAAGCCTTTGTTTCTGCTTGTGCAAATTCATCCCGAAGCGCTTGAATGTGAAGCAAGATGAGTAAAAATCTATTGTTCAAGGCAATATGGCTGCTATGTAACAAAGGTCTGTTGTGAAGTGTGATCATCTGGGTGAGTGTAGTCTTGAGAAAGACTGTTTTGTTGGTGGTGACTGACGTTTTGAGAGCCTGAGCGGATGTGAGTCCACTTACTCTTAACAAGGTCTATTAATTTTTAGTTGTCAAAGTTAACCTTAACATTTTCTTAATTTTTTAGGCGTGCAACTACTCCATTGGTAGAACCAGTCATAGCAGCAGTAAACAAACCACTGGCACATTACAAGCTAGGTGATCTAGGAATTGTTCCCCGGTCAAAGCCAAGGCTAGGAGAAAGACAGGGGTCTGCATCRCCGCTTCTAGAACCAATAAAGAGAATGAAAAGTGTTGGGGTTCAGACTATCAGTACTCAAAAGGTAATAATAAATACTTTTTTTGAGAAAGACTAATAAAGCCTATTGGTAATTCTTGAACTGTACATTTTAAATTTTAAATTGTTAACCATGTTATTTCATTGAAAAAAATTCTTCAAAAAATTTATTTAAACACACATATCACTTTTCTTTTTTCAGGCCATGTTCTTTGCAGATCAGCTTTTGTCACGTCACAGTGGCTCCAGTTCAGCGCATTCCTTCTCTAGACCTGATTATCCAGCTTCTACTATGAGAACAGAAGTCCAGGTTGGACAAGGTGCAGAAAGACCAAAATTCCTATAGTGTTTGTAACCTTGAAAATTATGGAAAGTGCTTTCCAGCAATGGACATCTCTTAAGAATGCTCTAGAATTAGGAGTATCGTACAAGACTGAGTACTGGAATCAGAGGACACACCCTTACCTCTAATATTTTGTTGATATGGAGAAAAACTCCCAAATCTCTTTATAAAAAATGTAAATACAGGAGTTTCCACACGTAATAGTGCTGGAAAATGGATTCTTATTTTGTAAATATGAAATTGTTATAAAAAGAATAATTGTGTGTTCATTGCATTTTTGTTATAATCTGATCTGTCTGTCCATTTTTCACATATTCTCATTTGTAACCAGTTCACTACAGAGCTGAAATTTGGTCCCCTAAGATTGATCAAGGGACATTATTTGTAGGATTGGGAGGAGGGGGTGGGGGGCTAAAAAAATTGTTAACGTTTTTGTCCTAATTATTGTAACATCCCTCTCTTGTATTTGAAAAAAATTAAGTCAGTTGTTGCTGTATTGCATTGAAGTCATCTTCATGGTGATTCAATGAAATTGTACCTTCACACTATTTCATATGCAACCTACAGATGTCCATTAATTGCTTTTATGTAGACAAGCTTATCCAGAAATCCATTTTCTGATTATTTAATAGCCCTCTCTGAATTCAGTTAAAAGATTTTTTTCCTGGCTTTCAAGTTTTCCACCTACCACAATACATAATATACTAGTACTAATGTTATCTGTGAGTCTCTAGTCTAGGTCAGCCCAGAACACAGGCATTTATGTTGCTATCGTTTAATTCAGGGTTTGATAAAATTGATATTTGTTTTGGCTTAAGGAAAATGAAAAAAAATGAAGGAAAATTAAAGAAGACAAAAAAGAACAATGTAAATTTGAATAAACTTCCTTTTTTCTCTTTATTCATTCTTTCTGTGCGGCATGTCTCCCTGCTTCGAAAATTCCAAAAGTGAAAAGGAGATGAGATAAAAGAGGATAAAACAAAATAACGATATTCCCATATTTCCTCTTCATTCATTCTCGTCCATCAAACAACCTGTCCGGCCACAGGTAGCCCAAGCTTGGTTTCTGTGGTGTCCTGTCATAAGGAAATGTATGGGGATTCATCAAAAATTTCAATAAAATCATTGAAACGTGAAATAAAGCCTCGAAATTTTACCCGATCATTGATAAATAACACTTCTTTCGCTCTGTGTGGTTATTTTTTGAATATTTCTTACTAGTGGGGAAAAAAATCTTAAAACGGGCTAAATTCACGTTTCAATGATTTTATTGACATTTTTGATGAATCCCCATACATTTCCTTATAACATGACACCACAGAAACCAAACTTGGGCTACCTGTGGTCCGGCATGCCTGGCCGCCTCGTCTGTGACGTCACCTTGTAATATACTACGACCTGCTGATTCAGTCGAGTGTCAACTTTTGAAACGACAAAAACTAATCGTAAAATATTTAACATTTTACCGTCCTAAGCTATCCTATTTACTACAAAAGTGTATGCCGTGCTATACGATAAGTTCTTATTATCACATTTGCTCGTTTATTCCTTTCTAAGGTCCAAAATATTAGGCTAAAAGTGAACATGCTTTAACGCTTCTGAACGACGTTCGTGTATTTTCCGCGAAGTCCAGCTTGAAATTTTTCCACAAAATGCCTCCAAAATTTAGTCGGACGACCGACGAAGACAGAGAATATGCTCGAACTTCAGAAAGGGTGAGTCATCTGTTTATTCCATCGTTTTTTATTGCGTTCAATTACGAAAAGAAGCTCATAAAGTATCTTGTGTTCAAAGGGACAACGTTGTTCATGTCCTTGAGATGCACTGCATTGTTGTCTTTTAATTCGCTCTGTTTTATCTAATTAACTCGATATAAACTATATAAATCTTTTTCAACCCGAACTTTTTTATTATACACGAGATAAACTCTAAAAAGGGTTTCTTTTTCTTTGATAAAATATTTTAACATTTCCGGTAGCCATTGGAAACTAAAAGTTTATGCTTTTTAGAAACTCGAATACTTTCTAAAATCAGATGTGAGGAAGGAGGGGGGATTTTACATTTGAAATTTAAAAACAAATTGGTTGCAGCCCCCCCCCCNCCCCACCCCCTACTCAAGCATAACTTGGGTTTTTCAATGGCTTCCCCAAACTACAGAATATAGAAGACACTACATATTTAAATATCTTTGGCTTTGAAAAATATTTTTGATATCAACCCCCCTCCCCCCTCCATTTGTTACAGGGGAAAATGGTTGGCCCTCCGCCAAATTCCCATAGTCTCCTTATGTCTAACTAAATAAGGCCTGTTGTGCGGAAGATGATCAATAAATAGTGGCATGTGAATTACTTTTGTCCAGTAGTTAGAATTTGGCAAACCTGTAAGTTCAACAGGACTTGCTGCATTTTGCCACACTGGAGTGGCAGCTGTAACATATGTGGCTGTTTTTCTGTACTTACATGTAGCATTAAAAGGAATAAAGTTTAACTAATATATATCTTATTGTATTATTTCATATTTTCAGGTTACACTCCTTGACTTAGATGATTCTGATGATGAAAGAATGTAAGTCATCTAGTGGATATATATTAAGCTTATAAAGCAGGAATTAAAATTTGATAATGATCAAATTACCTTTGATCATCTCCAACACTGTGGGCTTAAAACTTAGCTGTTCATTTATCATTTCTGCAGATTCTCTGGACCAAATCCATACAGATCCAGCGAGCCAAAAGTAAATGATAATGTTGCGAAAGTTAAGAATGAAATAAAGAGTGTGGTTAATGTCATGCAAAATAACATATCTAAGGTTTTGGATAGAGGAGCAAAATTGGATGATCTTCAAGATAAATCTGGTAAGAACTTGTATTTGGATCTAACAGACACTTCTATAGATCTGATCTGATCTGATAAAAAAGTATGGTAATTTAATATGACCAACAAGATCAAGCCACTTGTTGTACAACTTGTTGTGCAACTTGTTGTCAAACTAAATTAGGCCTGTTGTGCCGAATATGATTAATGAACTAAGTACAGCAAAAGAGTGGCATATGAGTTACTTTGTCCAGCAGTTTGAATTTTGTTAAGTTCAACAGGACTTGCCACATTATGCCACACTGGAAAGGCAGCTGATTCATATGTGACTATTTTACTGTACTTAGGTTTAACTAATATATAAAACAAAAAAAAGTTGCACCTTGTATGACTTTGTTACCCATCTTACTACACTTTTAAGCACAAATTTGTTGCTTCAACACAGGCTTGTTTTTTCATTCATTTTATTTCTGTTTTTATTATTGATTTTGATCTTTGATATTTATTTAATTTGCTTTCAGAGAACCTAGAGACAAGTGCTTCTCAATTTAGAGTAGGATCAAGGAGATTACAGAGGAAAATGTGGTGGCAAAATTGTAGAGTGAGTAAAACATGAATACTGTAAACTAGTAGACAGACAGACAGATGAAATCAGTGACCTAGGGATGGATAGGCAAATGGACAGACAGACAAATGGACAGGCAGACTATGGGACAGACATACAGAATGAGGGATGGATTATATGAAGACAACACATAGACAGACAGATGAAAGCACTGACCTAGGGATAGATAGGCAAATGGACAGACAGACTATGGGACAGACAGGCAGATGGACCGATAGACATATGAAAGCATGCAGGGGCTGAGGGAAAAACAGACAAAGGGACAGGGCTACTGACAGATGGACAGACAGACTATGGGACAAACAGACAGATAGACCGATAGACATATGAATGCATATGGCTACAGACAGATGGACAGGCAGACTATGAGACAGACAGACTATGAGGGATGGACTATATGAAGACAGACATTTATTTTTTCATTTATAATAACCAATGTTTTTATTTTTCTAGTTAAAGCTTGTCTTTGCCTTTGTGGTAATTATTTTATTAGTCATCATAATAGGTAAGTTTTGCTGATTATAAGACCATTCATTTGATGATCATATGTTTGCAGTGAGAATCATTTAAATTGCTACCTAATTTGAAACTTTGTTGTTTTCTTGATTTTTTGGTGGGCTACCTGTGGTGCATAGCTTAGTGTGACTTGGAAAGACCGAGTGAACATCCTCTACCCAAACCTCTCACCCTCCTTTTTTAACACAGTAATCCCAGTGCCAAAAACTGTAAAACAGACACAAAATGTAATTTTACAGTAGGAGGTTATTTTGACCCAAGCTAGGCAACAATAGTAGAATTCACCCTCCCCTCCCTAAGAAATTCAAGTTCTCTCTCTCTCTCTCTCCTCCCCCAGAGGAATTCATATACCAGATATTTTCATAATGTGTGGTTTTTTAATTATTGTAAATATAATGTAAATAATGTAAAATATAATGTAAATGCTGAATGATTCTAGAGGGAGAAAACCAGTGAACCAGGAGAAAGCTTACAGAGGACAAATAGACCAGTTGCGAGTTCCAAATTGCAGCTGGGTTTCTTGATTACAGACTCATTTACACAGGGTTAGCCTTGTATCAGTCTCTAAATATTCACAAATACCAACGGTAAAGTAAAGAATGCACAACTGCAACAATACAAACATTTTGAATTTCCACGGACTTTCACTGGAACGCATGAATATTCTGCACAAAATCAAGGCTTACCCTGTGTAAATGATTTAGAACTTGAAACTGGTCTATTGCTGCTTGCTAATAAATAGTTTATTGTACTTTCATCTGCAGTTAATCTTTATGTACGCATTGTATTAATTAACAAATAAAACAGCTTTTTCCCTACTCCGTTCAGTATTATAAAATAACTGTTATGAGTGTCGCGTTCTGATTGGTCTGAAGCGCGTGCTTTATGAGAGCACATTGCACGTGCGTGCACTTTCCATTGCGTCATTCCTATCTATTATTGCAATTTGTATTTTATAAAAGAAATAAAAAACTTGCTTGCTGTGCTGTGTGCTGTCATAAAGCACTTGGGGGTTGACAGAACACTCGAGAAGTGTCCAGAAGCACTCTGCTACACGTCGTGCTTCTCCGAACACTTATCTCGTGTTCTGCCAACCCCCGCGTGCTTTATGATAACACACAGCATGCACGCGCGTTTTCTATTTCTTCAATAAAGCACACAGGAAGTGACGTAAGCACAAAAGAAGTGAGTTAGTGCTTATGGCACTTCCTAAGTGCTTTATTACTGAGCAAAGCATGGAAAGAGATTTTTCATTCGATTTATTATGTAGTTACTCATTTTATTTCAGTATTGAATTTATTTACGCAAAAAGAAAAACGCATGCAAATTGCGTCAGCACTGTGCTCCGTTCAGTAATAAAGCACAGTTTTCGACTAATGAGTGTGCGCGTACTATCCTAACTATATAATAATGTTACTTAATTGTTTCTTTTTAGTTCCAATTGTCATGAAGAAGAAGAAGAAAACATAAAAACAAATGAATCTATACAATTTTTACAGTGAGAAGGTAGAAATAATCACTAATCTCTCATGATTTTAGTAAATATCAATATATATTAGACTGGTAGTTATGCTCTTGCAACTATATTTGTAGAATTCTATCCTTTCCCTTGTTTTTACTTTCTTTCATCCCTTTCTTCCCTCCCTCCCTTCCTTCCTTCCTTCCTTCCTTCCTTCCTTCCTTATTT